GAATTTGTATTTTTCTTTTCCCATAGATGTGTGTGTGCATGTGTTTGTGTACATGTAAACAGGCAATCAGTACACACTATTTGCTTTTTGTGAGGATTAGAGCCTTCTGGGGATTATTCCTTGAACCTTAAGGAAAAAGCTATGGGTCCTGCCGACATCTTGGAGAGAAGAAGGTGATAAGACATCACAATATAGCCAGGAGTTCTCCAGAATACAGGGCTATATCAATATGCTAACAGAAATATGGAAACTACTGCAGCTATTTTTTTTCCCAAGGCAAAACACATTTTTTCTGTCCTAGTTACCTGCCACAATACACATTCTTGTGAATTTGCCCATGCCTGGTGTTACAACAAAAGAATGGAAGTAATTTTTCAGGTCACATTGCCTCTTATACAATGTCCTATCCACTGGAAAGCCGTAGTGCTTTAGTCTTGGGTTTTTATGTGTCCTTGTAGAAAACATGGACATGCCAGTGGATGGTGACTACAGTGACTCCACTTTAAAATGGAATATACTTTCAGTTGGAAGATACAGCCCTTAATCAGTGATAGCTGTAATATCAACAGTGTTAAAAAAAAAAACTTTATAATATAACTTCATTTATGGAAAAAAAAAAAAAAAAAGCAAAAAATCACTTAAAAGGGCCAATGATGCAGAAAGAAGGAGACTGTCAAAACCTGGAAGGAGGATGGTGCTTACCAGGTGGTTGCACTTAAATGAAGAAGGGGTAAGGCATCCCTAACAACAAACAGGTGATCTGAAATGTCTTATCCAATCATTCTCTTGATGGAGATTTGAATTGTCTATTCTTGATAGACTCCTTTCTTTCCTTTTCCTTTTCCTTTTCCTTTTCCTTTTCCTTTTCCTTTTCCTTTTCCTTTTCCTTTTCCTTTTCCTTTTCCTTTTCCTTTTCCTTTTCCTTTTCCTTTTCCTTTTCCTTTTTTTCCTTTTCCTTTTCCTTCCCCTTTCCCCTTAAGAGCATTCAGGGTGCTACCTCTCCTAAATATCTTGCCCATGGTTTTGGAATACATGTGGAGTACATCTAGGCTTTGTTCTCCTGCTTTGCACACTATCCAGTGAGGATGTAGCCTGGAGCTTAGGCTGGTGGCTTTGGAGTTCAGCGCCCTCTGCACAACCAGCAGCTCTTCATCTTCCACCAGTGCTTTCCTTCTCCTGCTGAGGCAGGGAGGGACCAGGGCATCAGGAACATGGACCCACACTAGGCTCAGCAGGGTGACAAGCTGGAAATTGTGAAGAAACCTTTCAGCTAGCAGTAGAAGGAGGAAGTTCTGTCACAGTGCCTGAAGGAAGGAAGGCAGGCTGGGAAGGGTCTTACAAACAGCCACAGCAGGTATCAGAGGAATATAAAGTGGAGAGGTGCAAATGGACTTCTGGCGTTTGTAGATCTGGAAGTTCTGTAAATGTCACTTATTTGTCCTGCCCCGTATCTTTGCAGAAAGAAGCCACAGAGCGCCCCTATAGGTTGACCCGGAAGATGTGAAATACCTGAGCTTTATCAGGTTATTCTCATCTAAAAGCTTTTCAGATATTAAAGGTTCAATTGTAATTTTGCATTTGGACATGCCAATATATGATGTATGATTCAAGATCACCATGCTTTTCATGCCAAGTTTAAAATATTTCACATTTTATTTTATAGCAGAAAATGCTGAGCATATTCAAAATTACTAAATTAAGATTTCTAGACAAACCTCTGTATTTGGTGTTTTCAAACTTTTTAATATTGCTGTAGCAAGAAACAGTTGTTTTAATGCAGCATCCTTTGGGGATGAAGAAGCACACTCTTCTGCTGTCACTTGACACCAGAGTCATATAAAGGGTTTTGTCTGAGATGGGGATTTAGCAGACAAAAGGTGCTAATGTATTTGACTAGCAACGTTTAAATCTTTATGGTTGATAGGAGGCTCCTTTAGTCTTTGTAATGAGGTCACATGTCATATGGTGATGTAATTTTAAAAGGACTCAAAGTCCACAGAGAAAATACATTAGTTTGTTGTAGTAAGTTTGTCATTGTTTTGTCATTCACTTAAATAAACATATGCTAGCTAAGATAATTGATTGTATTTAAATACACAAGCCCAGATACTGCAATTTCAAATTACTGTATGTCCTGAAATAAATTTATTCTCATGCCAGTGATACCAACATTGTTTGTAACTCACATAGAAGAAAACTACAATGTAACTAATGTGTTGAAGTTTCATATATTAAAGGTATAACTATGCAGTTTATTCTAAAGCTGTGTGAGAATCACCTTTTTATTCTTCACCATACTTTGTTAGTCAAATGTTTTGCAACAAAGGGAAAAATATACAATTATTTAAGTATTTTCTGTGTAAAACTACAAAAGCCATTGCATAAAATTTTTGGTAATAAGAAAACTTTCAAGATATTTCTCTGCTTTGGAATATCACTTCTTACAGGACTGGAGTGCTGATTACTGTTTCGGCATCAGACACAGGCTCCTAAAACTGCTTGAGACATAAGATTAAATGGTTGAGCCTAGGAAAACAGAAAAATATCCTATCAATTTGCAAAACCTTTTACAAAAAAGACCAGCAATTCCAGAGTAGTCATTGGCAAAAAGCAGGCAGGAGCTTCGTGCATGCTGCTGTCTGTTTTGGTATCAGGGTCTGCACCTTGCACTGACAGAGTGGCTGAGCAGAGGTGGCTGGACCACCACGTATGATCTTCGTGCTGATGAAATGAAATTACTCCACACCACAGTGAAAAATATTATGTTAACAAAACCATAGTTCCGTCAATATGAACTGCATCTACATTAGAGGCCTCTGCTGGCACATCTCTGCTGGGTAAAAATTCACCTCTAACCCAATTAACCTTTCAGGGAGAAGTCTTGAAGCACAGAGACTGCCAAGATAACTCACTGCTCTGTGCCTTTCATGCACTGAAAGAAATAACCTCCAGGTTACCCACTCCAGGGATTCTCATTTTCAAAGATGTCGGTCACCCAGGATCTTCGGTTATATATTTGTAATTCTAATTTTAAGATAGTCAGCCACTGTCTTGTCTCACAGCTTTAAGAAAAGGCAGCCTCAGATGTCCCAGTATGTTTTATTGTGTAAACTATGGTCAAAATCTATCCTTATTTATTTTCAGGAATATTTCAAGTGATGGTGGTATATAGGTAGGAATATTTCAAGTTATGATGGTATTTGGAAAACTAGATTCCTGGCTAATGTGGCTGTCAATTCTTGCCTTTTGACCAGCCCTTTCTTATTTCTTAACACTAAGTTCTCACTAGGCTGTATATTTTTTGCCTCTTGCTTTCTTAAATAGAAATGGCTAGCTGAAATGTCAGGCATTATTCAGAATGGGGAAATACCACACAGCTCAGTAGGAGAGGTTTTTTGTTTCTTTTGTTTATTTTTTATTCCTGCATCCAAACATGCCTCCAGTAGCTAAGTCCTTCACCTCATTAGGTAGTTTCAGCTGCAGCTGTGCTGACCAGCACTAAGGAATATTTGTGCAAGTCTTGACTGGCTGATAGAGTGGAAAATGAAGGTTTTTTTGAAGACCCACAGGTATCATGGTACCCACTAACTGCAAGCTATCTTCCCTAAACCTGTGACTTGCAAAATGTTCTTCCTCTGGAAATAATAAATTCAAATTTTTACTCCAGAAGGGGCTCCTTTTCTTCATAGGTGTTTAAGGCAATAATCTGAAAACTATTTTTCCCCACTTTCCCCCTTTCTTGGGAGCTGAAGCAATATAGCGTTAGGCTGCAATAACAGAGCAAAGATGGGGTTTCCCTGTACTCTGCAGGCAGCCATTTTTCAGAGCTGGAATAGCTTAGAAGCCTCATTCTCCATCATCAGAAACTTGTGGAATATATTCTGTAGGGATGAAAATCCATCCTTTGGGTGGTAGTTCCTGAATCAGCTGCAGCACCTGATGCTGCTGGAGCAGAGAGAAGGCTTGTAGTGGGAAATGGCTCACGTGGGAGTGGGGCAGAGCGGAGCAGCATGTGAGGCGTGAAGGTGGGGACAGATAGGGCAGAGTGAAGTGGCAACAAGGGCTGCTAAGCTCTGCCCACCCAGTCAGGCCAAAGTCTGCATGTGCCTGTGAGTGGCAGCTGTTGGCACAGCCCCCTCCACAGCTGGGCTTCAAATGGATCCAGCCTCCAGGCTTGCCAGGGTGTCCTGTAGGCCAAACTGACTTCTCAGAATCAGCAGGCTTGACAAGTGCTTCTGTTCATGAATAAGGGGCACAGGCAGAATGATCTGTGTCAGAATTGTCTGTTGTATTTTTTGAGTCTTTTAGTTGCAATGTAAAAATTGTGATTTCTGGGCTGGGGTGGTTAGGAAGTTTTCAACCCTTCCTCGTGCATTTTATACACTTTTTATCCCTTCTGCCAGCTGTCACTGCTCACACTACAAGTCCTCAGAGGCCGGGGCTGCCTCTTACCCGTGCTTGTGTACAGCGCTCATTGCAGCTGAGCTCTGTTGAGGCCTTTGGATCCTGCTGTTACGCCTATAATATTCATAACGCCCAGGGCTACGCACAGCAAACGCGCCGCTCCTTCACCCCCCGTGTCCCCGCTGACGCCCGTATCTCAGCACACCCGCGGGAAACTTTTGGTTACAAAGGCACACCCAGCCGGCCCTGGGCGGCGGGGGCAGCGGCGCCCGGAGAGCACGGCCCCTTTAAATTCCAGCTGTGCGGCGGGGGCAGCACCGCTGGCGGCGCGGGGCTGGGGCCGGGGCCGCTGCCGGTGCGCGGCGGCGGAGAGCAGCCGGCGGCGGGGAGCGCGCAGCCCTGCGCCCGGGGAGGCAGCGGCTCCGGCGCCGCGGTGCCTCGCGGAGGCGGAGAGGATGAGGATGGCTTCTGGCTTTTTTTTTTGCCTCCTCGCGACGATTTCCATAGTAACCTGATCGAGCGGTGCAATTTCGGGAACTGGGGTGGCTTTATTATTATTTTTTCCCTCCCCATTTTTTTTCCCCGTTTAATCTCACCTTTCCCCGAGGAGTGCCAGCCGACAGGTAAGGTGCCCCGATCCCGCGGGGGTGTTTCCGCGCCGCCGAACTTCCCAGGGCGACAGCGGCCAGGCGCGGGGTCCTGCCCGCGGGGCTCCGCTGTGCGCGGCCGTGGGCAGCAGCCCGGGGCCGGGGCCGCAGCCCGCCCGGCTGCTGGGGGGGCGCACGTCGGGGCGGGGTGCCGCGGTACCGGGGAGCCCGGCGGGGGGTTACCGCCCGAGGAGACCGCCGAGCTCTTTTTACCCTCTTTGTTTGCTTGCTCCCAGAGAGGGTTTTATTCTTCCCTTTGTTTCTCCCTCCTTTTCTTCTCCCCCCCCCCCCCGCATCGCTCCCCTGCCTTGGTTTGCTTCCTTGATCATCTTTCCTCCCCCCTCCCTTTTGTGAGGGTGAGAAATCGCACGCACTTAACCTTAAAATCTGCGGCGAGCGAGGACACAGCCAGCCGGCTGCCCGTTCCCGGCGCGGCCGGTACCTGCCGCATCCCGCTCGTCCCCTGCCCCTGGCCGTGCCCCTGCCCGGAGCGCCCCGCAGCCTCCTGTAGCCCTCCGGCTGGGGCGGGCAGGGGACCGCCCTCGCCCGTCGGAGAGGAGAGGGGCAGAGCAGCCCAAGGCTACCCCCAAGCCCAGTGTCACGGTCTGGATCCCCCGAGGGGGGAGAAAGCACATCGTGGAAACCTGTGAGCAGGTTAGTCTAGAAGCTTCTCCCTCCATGACCTGCTCCTTGCCCACCTGCCTGTGCCCGTCCAGAGAACTTGGGGATAGGGGACACATCTTGCCACTGCCTCGGCATTGGGTTAGCAAGGATACCGGTGGCCCCGTGGGTCCTGAGCACCCAGCCCTGCTCCACAGCCTTCTCACGCAGCCATACATTTTCTCTCCTTCCTGGGTGGGCAGCACGGGGAAGGCCCCACCAGGTTTGGGTTAGGTGGTGAGGACTTAATCCAATTGTGATCATATTTGGTTGGTAGTGCCAATGCTCTTGCTGGGTAGTAAGAGCACCTTGTTCACCAAGCAGGTCTCCAGTAAAGCTTACTGTTGTTTGCCATCTTCCCTAGCTCTCTGGGTTTCATCCTGAAATGGTGTTTTGGACTGTGACTGTATATATTTTTTTTTGGGGAGGGGGGGGGTGTGAGTTGGGGTGGGGAGGAAGAGGGGAGTGTTTTGTCAATTTTTACATCACTTTGCACTGAGCACAATGAATAGATTAGTCTGCTCAAGGCTTTTTGTTTCTGTCATAAGTGATCAATAATCATCTGCTGGTAAGATGATCTTATTACAGAAAAAGCCAAAGTGCACGCTGAGAACAGCTGAAATACAAGGTCAATTACTCTTGGGTTATCAACAGTAAACCTGCTTTGCATATTTGAAGATGACGTATTTCTTTCAAAGTAAAGGCAACTTCAAGCCTTTGATGAGCTTTATTTTCTGCGCAAAACAGTCAACATAGAAAACAAGCCTTGCTTCGGAGTAGTCTACTCATCCTTAAACATCCCTGGACCTCATTTAATCTTTCCCTGTAGTGAAGGTGGACGGGAATTGCAGTCCTCTTAGGTAAGAAGAGTTTCTGTAGCCCCCGATACAAAGGTTGGTTTGTTCCTAGTGCCCAGCAACTGCTACAGGCTTTCCAGACACAAAAGAAAGGCGTAGTCTGTGGCCTGAAGATCGTGCATGCTAAAAAGGCAGTCAGCTGGAGGGTATCACAGATCAACAACCAGCTCCGCCGCCGCCGCCTGGTAGCTGGCTTTATTCCGGGAATGTGACAGTTCAGTGGGACAAGTAATTGGTGCCGAGGTGCTGGTGCCTCAGAGAGGACTGCCATAACCTGCGGGTCAAGCCTGGGGTATGAGGAGCCAGCGCTGCGAGAGAGGGAGCCTGGACAGGAGGAGACGCTGGGGGCAGGTGAGGCAAGCTTTCCAGAGAAGGCATTGGATTACAGCACCGAGGCAGAGGAATGAGATATGAAAAGGGAGCAGGGCACATAATCGGCAGGGGAAGAGGTTATGCGGGGACTTGGAGCATAACATAAAAAGCTTGAAGTAATGAGTTTAATCTACGAAATCTAGTTCTTAAATTGTATGTGCTTGCCAATTAGCTAACCATTCTGCAACTCAGAATGGAATTCAGATTGCATCTTGGTAAATGTATTGACTCTCAAGTGCTGCAAGGAGAAAAAAATAATTGTCTCCTCTTTCCCCTGCTGTGGGCTTTAAATATGAAAAAAAATCAGATCTGAGAATTGAGGAACCTTTTAATATACTTACTTTCCTGAGTTCACATGCTATCTAGCCTAGACTTCCACAGTTAAAATCATAAACTCCTATGGTAATATGACTTCAGGGGGCCAAATTCAGAACAGTTGAAGGGCTTTTTACCAGTGAATATTGCCATGCATTGTGAGGAGGGGTCACCAGTCACAGAATGGATTAAAGTGCAGGATCTGTGAGGCTGTTACCTTGCAGGGAGAAAAGCACTTACAGTATAGTGAGGGAACCCATGTCCCTCTTGGGGTCCTCTAATGAACACTTAAACATTGCATGTGTATAAAAAAGAGTTGCAGCATAACCTTTATTCTCCTGTATTAAAGAATGTGTTCATGTATGTATTAGTTTATGTGTGTCATAGCAGCTTTCAAAATGGCTGAATAATATTGATTCAACTAAAAATACTATGAGAGAATAGCTGAAATTAGTTTGAATTTCAGTTTGAGAGAATTATAAAAATAATGTCAGTTTTGCATCACTGGACAGCTAGCTGTAGTAATTCATAGAAACTAACAGAAGCCTTCATGATGCTATTGTTTTATCCAGATTTTACTGATACAGATTTAAGAAAAGTAGGCATGAGTCAATGCCAGAAATTGCCACCAAGATTAGCACCCTGGGCAAGAATATTTACAGCTGTGTTTCAGAGTCTGGGAATGTTTGCTTTAGATGGCTGGCAGTACTGTGCTTTATACTGCAGAAGATCAAAAATTCATTATGTTTGAGTGGTAACACAGGGATGTAATAATACAGAGTTTCTCATTTTCTTGGAGAAGTGTTATCTAATTTGTGCTTAATTTTGCAGTTATACTCCACATTGAGATGGATCAGAGGTGTATGGCTGGGAGATGTGTAGCTGGGTTTTTTAGCAGGGAATCTGACTTGCGCTGATGCGTATGCATTTTCTTGTACTAACCTCCTTGTGGTATTGCCTGCACGTGCTGATGAAATAATTTGCCTGAGAGCTATTAGAATTTGTATGTAAGGAACTGGTTTGTTTATATGTAGATCAGTTATTACTGCAAAGATAAATGCATGCATGGAAAATTGTTATCACAGATGGATGATGGCTTCTGAAAACTGGGCCTCTTTAAGATAAAGTTCATGTATCATGTCAGAGAAATAAGCAAGATGGGGGCAAAACCACTACTGAGTTTTTTATTATGTTCTGCTTATGCCAATCAGTATAATATCCATTGCAAGAACCCAGTACTATGCTTGCAATGAAAAGACTTGGGATTTTGTCAGTGTCAAATCAGACCCTCACCCACATTCTCACTGTTTGCCTGACAACCGTTATAAGAAATACTGTGGTAAAATTTCCTTGCAGAAACATTTTGTAAAATATGTAATTTTTATTGGTAAATGCTGTATGTTTTGCTTGTACTCTAGTGTTTCTTTTCACCTCTTGAAAATGACTGCATAGAAATAGCACCTTGTTGTTTTTTTCCACTTCTCTATCTATATTTAGAATTGTATCTATTTAATTGAGTGACAAATGTTCATCTGTTAACCCAAAAAAAGACAGATAGGATAATAGGAGCATGAGATGTCCTCTCTCAACTGGACAGACCAGACAGACTGGTTAGCAGACCAGGATTCAGCTTTGAGTCCCATCTCTTAGCATTCCCAAAGCTCACCAGTCCTTGTTCCTGCTTTCAGTCCTCTGGATTTGGACTACCTTGAGGCATCACAGAAATCCTATGCAGGACAGACGCATTCAGCATAAAGTTGGTCCTTCTGACAGAGCTTCCTGGTCCTCACTAGCTTCTTGGAGCACTGGTTCACATGGTTGTCTGCATGCAAATCAGGCGTCCCCTGGGGACAGTGTTGGATGGTGCAAGCGCTGACGCTCCCTTCTCTGTAACTCTATCAGGAGATTGTATGCAAAAAAGGCTTTTTCCAGGGATTTGTCTGAAATGGATCTTGAGATCTGCTGAGCTTTGACTGTTAATTTTTGTGGATGGAGATGGTCAGGTCTCTCAGGAACAGGCTGGTAAATGTCGCTTACTGCAATGACTGGTTAACAGTGTTTAAGTGGTGTCTACAAAACAAGTCAGGCTCATGGCTCCACAGGGCAAATGTGTTCCACATCCAGACATGCATGTCAGGAGACTTATTTCAAATGAGACAGCCGTGTCCTTCTAGACTAATTCCAACAGACAGAAAGGAAATGTGAGCAAGAAAAATAAGGTCACGCCATTATGTCTACTGATAACTTTCGATCTCTGGTGACTTTACATCTCTGAATTTAATTTAAACAGTAATAATTGTATTCTGTTATACCACAATACAATCATGACTGTTTGGTTTACTTGTACTGCAGCAGTGGGTGCCAAGCTCTAATTTGAAACAGAGGTCGTCCCAGTTGGTACTTGGAGCCCACTGATGACACCTTTTACATGGAAACACTGCAAATAATTGAGAAGTAACTGAAAGGTGATGAAATTATAGTGTTAATAAAGCAATTTAGTATTTATACTGAACAAGAAGAATATTTACATAAAGATAAAAAAAGCCTAAGCACTATTAAAAATTGTAAGAGAGAATGCTTGACTGAGAGCTGACAGAAATAGCAGCAATTGTTGTTTCCCCAGATTTTAATCAATCTTCTGTCAGTGTCAAATTGAAAACATGATTTTTTTTTGTTATTTGGAATCATGCTCATAGAGAAATAAAATGTGGTCCTGGAGCCCTTTTAAGTGGGATGTCCTGCAGTGTACTAAATAATTTGATTTGGAAGGAAAATATGTCAAATATGTTTGCATGTCGTAAAAACAACATGAGATTTTTTTCGTAT